GTGTTCAGTAGTTTCATCTACTGAACTAATAAAGCATAAAAGTCACGAATGACCCTAAAAGTTTTGAATAAAAAGTCTCTTTTCTTCACAGAGAGGGCCTAACTCCCATCACCAGCAACCAGCATCCATTATATGCATAAGACCCTGATTTGAATTCATTGTAGAAACAACACGCTGCTTACTCGGTATGCCGAGCAACTTGCTTAAAGGACCACTATAGGCACCAAGACCACTTCAGCTCAGGTGCATCTAGGGTTAACCCTGTAGCTGTAAACATAACAGTTTCAGAGAAACTGCTATGTTTACAATAGTGTTAATCCAGCCTCTAGTGGCTGTCTCACTGACAGCCGCTAGAGGCGCTTCCGCTCTTCTCACTGTGAAAATAACAGTGAGAAGACGCTGACGTCCATAGGAAAACATTGAGAAATGCTTTCCTATGGACTGATTGAATACGCACGCATTCGGCAGATGACGTCGGAAGAGGGAGGAGAGTCCCCAGCACCGAGGGAGCCCGGCGCTGGAGAAAGGTAAGAGTTTAACCCCTTCCTCCCCAGTGAGAGTGGGACTCTGAGGCTGGGGGGGACCTAAAGACCCTATAGAGCCAGGAATACGAGTTTGTTTTCCTGGCACTATAGTGGTCCTTTAAGGTCTGCACTTTATGCATTTATGTATTAGACCTCTATCATACATAGATTGTCTATATTTTATGGAAATGTTTATATTATTTTATGAGGAATGTCTCAAATAAAGTAAATTTAAAAGTACTGAATCTCTTCTTCTATAAAGTGGGCCAGTCTTTACAATATATTTTTATTTCTTTTATATATTGGGATGGGCACTATTGAGTAAGCTGTTAATTGGGAATGCCTGAACAAAGGAATTTTAAAGATTCATCACTGGACTTTTTTATATTATTTCACAAGACTATTCACTATCCATTTTTATTATTGTGTATTGTTCAATATATACCAAAGTCTGGATTTTTTGTCAAGCTACTGCATTATAAGTAGTATAATGAGAGAATAAGGGTTAATTAGTATGTTTTTTTTTATATGTTATTTATAAAAGGTCGTTAGGTTTCCTATTCGCTATACCCTTTTCTCATTTTCGTATATCTTTGATTTAAGTTAAATTTGGCGCTCCACTGAAACCAATTTCTTTAAGATCCCTCTCAAGCAAGAACTGTCACATCGGGGGTGTCTCTAAAATGTTTCAAAACTCTCCATAAAAGACAGTGCCACTTTAGATGCCAGACAGGGCCCTTTTTGCGATATGCCTTGTAATTCATTGGTTTTGTAAAAGTTAAACACGTTTGAATAATATAGTAATGCAATAATATGATAGGGTTTTAATTAGTGCTAAAATAATTGAAAATATATATTTTTCAGCTGCAGACAAAGATGTTTCTACAGCCTCATCCACTGCATGAATGTAAGTTTCAGAGTATTAAGCACAGAGCTTCACATTGCTTTGCCACTATTGTAGTGCCAAGTTTCCAGTTAGTTAAGTTACGAATGGTAATGTGTTCTAAATGAAACAAAAAAGATATTGGTAATTACTGTTCTGTTGGATGTTATGTTTGTGCACATATTAATCAGAGCACTCGGTGAAAGTGCTGAATAGTAGGATGTGGAATTGTCACCGTAGGAATGGGGTGTAATGTAACTCTGTCAGTGTTATATGTGACACGTTCACTTTTAGATACCACAGTGTGCCCTGCATATTATTTTACGTATCAGCTTTAAACTTGTGTATCTTGAAACACAAAGCCTGTCATCTCCATTTTTTAACAATGATGTTTATTCTTCTATTAAGTGCAGTGTAATAAATAATTTATCTGCTTATTACCTTCCTTGTTAGCTCTCCATATTAGATTTTGGTTCCTTCACCTTGTTCGTCTTTCAAGAATGATTGTGAAAGGCCAGCAATGTCAGACCTTATTTTCAATGCAGTTATCAGATGGAATAAGATGGTTATTTTTCCAGCGTCCACACGATGTGATTCCTAATTCACCCTCCATATTCTGTACATAACACTAGTACTGTCTATGAAACAGGGGTTTACTTAACTATATGGACCCTTCCATCCTATACACAGACTCTCATATAGCTCAAAGTAAAATCTTCACTTCTGTTATTCCTTTTCAATTTACAGACTTTGCTTGGATTTAATTGATTCCCTATTGCTTGACCAATCCTCACCTCCTCTGTGCATAGCTTTATTGCAGGCCTTTTTGACCCTATCATCTCGGTCTTTCACAGTCTGAGTTAAAAAGTTCCTTGTTGAAAACCAGAACAATTCTCAGCAATTTCCAACTGGATGGCTGCCCACTTCCTTAAACTCAACCTGTCCAAAACAGAACTTCTGGTCTTTCCTCCCTCAAGTGGTGCTACTCCAGTGTCTGTCTCCCTCCAAGTCAATGGCACCACCATCACCTCTACCTCGCAGGCTCGCTGCCTAGGTGTTCTCTTTGACTCTGACCTCTCCTTCACCCCTCATGTCCAGTCGATCGCCAAATCCTGCCGCTTCCATCTCAAAAACATAGCTCACATCTGCCCTTATTTAACACCAGACGCAGCTAAGGTGCTGGTCCATGCCATTGTTCTTTCTCACCTTGACTTCCCCTTCTCAGTGGTCTTACGTGTTCCCAGATTGCATCGCTGCAATCTATAATGAATGCGGCGGCGAGGCTAATTTTCCTGTCCACCTGCACCTCCCACGCCTCCCTGCTCTGTCAGTTCCTACATTGCCTTCCAGTTAGATATAGGTCTCAATTTAAGATTCTGGTGCTTGCTTACAAGTCCCATCAAATATGTCCTCTGAAGGCCCCTGCACTCTGCCAAAGACCTACATCTATCCTCTGTCCGTACTCCCACATCTGATGCTTGCCTCCAAGACTTCTCCAGGGCTGCACCTCTTCTGTAGAACTCCCTTCCCTTCTCCGTTAGACTTTCACCCAGTCTCCACTCCTTCAAAAAAATCTTTGAAAACATACTTCTTCAGGAAAGCATATCATTTAAACTGTTTTCATCCCTCCCACCCCATGACTCCTCTCCTGCAACTGTCAAAAATAGCCTACTATTTTTTCAGTGATTAAATTTCTAGCAACCTATTTCATTAGCCCTACTTATACCCTTTGTGTCACTATACCCCACTTCCTCTAGCATGTAGGCTCATTGAGCAGGGCCCTCAACCCCTCTGTTCCTGTGTGTCCAACTTGTCTGGTTACATCTACATGTCTGTTAGTCCACCCATTGTACTGCACTATGAAATTTGCTGGCGCTACATAAATAATATAATAATAATAATGTTATTCCAATAGGAGAACTTAGCCTGTCTCTATTAGTTATCACAGACCAATCCTGTGCTGACTGCAGACCTGCTGAAAAAAATATTTATCATAAAGGCAGATCCTCGTTTCCAGATCAATATTGCTGGTGATTTAAGAAAATGTGTCCAAATTATTTACTGTTTCAGTAATCATTATGTTATGTATTTACAGCATTTCTGCCACAATGAAGATTTCCGTGTAAGGAACTGGAGAGAATCACATGACGGACACAGTTCTCCATCATTTCTTTCCTATAACATGCAATATGTGCAGCTTTTAATTACTGGGGTAATAGTTTCTTGATTCAGGGAGATATCTGACTGCCATTCAGGGGTCAAGAAGGAATTTTTTTTACTAGTTTGCACAATTTGAAGTGCTTAGAACAGGGGTTTTGTATGTCTTCTTTTGGATCAACAGCAAAAATCAAATGTGAGAAAGGCTGAACTTGATGGATGCATGTCTCTTTTCGGCTATGTAACTATATAACAGATCCACTAAATATGAGTAACCATTCCTTTTTTATTTTTTAATTATTTCATATATCAGTGAGCACTATTATGTATTTTTGTTTATTTTTTATATATCTACTATTATGCTGATGAATTGGACCAAAGAAACACATAGCCATCAGTTGGGATTGTACCTCTCCCTACTAGCTTATCTAGAGCTGGATCATAGCTCAATTAAATGTGAATACAACTTCACACATCCCTGTCCTAAACATACTGCAATACAGTCTGCACTATTATTTGTCATCTTTATCTTTTATATGTACCTACAGAAAAAAAAAAAGTTTGAACTGATACCGAGAGCCGGATTGAGATTATTGGACTTTTGTTTTGGTGCAACTTGTATTTTCTGCATTCTGGTTTGCCTTGCATTCACTAAGGGATTGAGGTAACACCTGTTTTCAGTTTTTACTGCCCATCCTACTCTGCAAAGTTTGAAATCTAGCGATTATACAATTTTTGCCTGATCTGAAAAAAGCTTATTAGATGGAACATAAATCTTGCTCTGCCTGTTAAAATAATAACAATTAAAAAACATATGCCACATACAGACCATGATTATTGTTCTCTGAATTAAACGTATTGGGCTCTTAATAATCCCCTTTAGTACAAAACCCGTCATATACAGGTTTACCGCAGTCGTATTCTGTTACACACAATATGTGTATTCACATCGTTCACATCATATCTCCATCCCAAAGTAAATGTTATTATAGATCTGAAAGAATGCAAACAAGAAAACTCAGAGTTAGAGGTGTATTTGGGCGCTTCTTGAGATATATGTAGGGTGTGTATAAAACAGGTGTTCCCAATCACCTTAAAGGTACAAATGACAAAAATAAGTGATAATCAAATTACCACACAAATACAACACCCAGTGAGACACTTAGGGTATACTTCCCAAAAGTAGCGTCTAGTAGTAACAATACAATTCTTCCTTGATAAATCTATAAAAAACAGGCATTGTAATACATAGTGAAATCTGTATGATAATATGATTCAAAGTAAAATATGAGATGTCAACTCACAAGTGTAGAGCCGTACCAGCCTCTATATAATCAGCGCAGGGGTGCCAATAACTGGCTTTGAAAATATTCCAGAGGCAGGATCTTGGCAATAGTAGAAAATTTATTAAAACAATAATAATAAAAAATAGGACATATGTAGGCAGTTGAGATAATATACACTTCCACAAAATAAAAAGTCCTTATAAAAAGTCCAAATTGCAAACGCCTTTCGACTGTAAAGTTTTCCTCAGTGCAGGATAAATCAGACCTGGCAGCATGGTTCATTTTATACCCTCCTAGAGTTGAAATTTTCGCAGCAAATCTTTTCTCCACTTCCGGTTCGCGGTAAACTTCGTACATTTCCGGGTCACGTGGTAGCCGGCGTCAACTTCCGGTTACGTGCATGCGTAATTACATACGTACAGCGGTGTATTTCTTGCCGATACCGGAAGTGGTATAATGTCCATATTATATATGGGCAAAACTGCTCTATGTGCTACAAAAACCGTTCAGTGCAGCCAAGACCAAAATAAAAACATTGGTTAGCATTAATGAACACTTTTAATTATATACAAATGTAGGTATCATAAAAACATTTACACCTACGGAGGGTCTGTATAATGGCAAAATCTAAAATTAAAAACAGATATAAATATATGGGATATATTCATAATGGATTTCTTTTACTGATTGTTACTATAGAAAAAAACATGTATACATGATATATTCAGATGATGTATGGAGTATTGAAGCAATCCCAGGGAACTCTCAAGCAACCAAAGTGTATACAAATACATATAGAAAAGACATTTACAAAAAAGGCTATCCTATAATAATTACAAAAAAATGGGCCAAATCAAAATCTAAATTCAAGCCATTTGGACGAAGAGAATCCATCTTAAAAATCCATTGGCTTTCTATTCTACTGAGTTCTCTGAGGTTGTTCTCACCCCTCCAATTATGTCCCTTCTGACAAAAAGCCATAAAGCCCAAAAGAGAAGGGTCTTTATTGTGGAATTCTAGAAAGTGAGCAGACACACTATGTTTAGTGTACCCCCTCTGGATATTCCCCATGTGTTCCAGTATGCGTATCTTCAGTTTTCTAGTGGCCATACCCACATACTGTAGACACAGGGGCACCAGAGGAGGTACACAACATTCGAAGAATGGCAAGTAAGAACATCCTTCATTATAAATCGTGTTTTAGTAGCATAGGATATAAAATCCACCAATTTGGATTTATTAAGACTACTTCTCTTACACGCCAGACAGATTTTGCAAGGATAAAAACCTTTTTGGAGTTTAAACATATTTTTCGTGGGCGGGTCTTTTATAAAGCTGGTTTTTGATATTCTTTGCCCCCCTAAAAATCTTTGTCTGTCTTAAGTACATGCCAATGTTGATTAATTATGTGTTTAATTTGTTGGTAATTAGCGCTATAGTCTAAAATTATTGGGACCCATTTTTGGTTGGAACTATGTTCCGTATTATTATTATTACTATTATTGTTTGTGTTTTTATTTTGAAGGAGGTCTTCCCTATTTAGGGACCGTACTAGTACTCTTTGTTTTTCCAATTCTTGTAATTCATAATTTTTCGCTTTAACCCCTTAAGGACACATGACATGTGTGACATGTCATGATTTCCTTTTATTCCAGAAGTTTGGTCCTTAAGGGGTTAAAAAAACTGTTAAGACATCAGCTTGGGATTCATATTGCTCAGGATCACTACAATACCTAAGCATCCAGATATACTGTCCCCTGGGGATATTTCGGAGCCCAGTGGGATGGTGGCAACTAGATGTGTCTATGTATCCATTTACATCCACCTTCTTGAAATAACTCCTGGTATTTAAAATATTGTTGTTGATATATATTTCCAGGTCAAGAAAGTGGATTTGGGTATGACTGTAATCACTTGTTAAGGTGATACCTCTCTGATTAGAGTTGAGAAATCATAGAAATTCTTTGATATTCTTCACCCCCCCTCCAAATAAAAAAAAAGTAATCAATGTATCTGCGATAGAGAACCAAGTTCGCACTCCAGGCCCCATCCATGCCCAAGAAGGATTGCTCCTAAAAAGACATGAACAGGTTGGCATAGCTGGGTGCAAACTTGGTTCCCATCGCATTACCCACAAGCTACCCATGACTGGAAAATAATTATTTTCCCAAAAATGTCTAACTGCCTCACAACCTAGTGAGTGAGAAATAATAGTATACAGACTGGTGACATCACATGTCACCAGAATGTATTCACTCGACCATACAATATTCTGGAGTTCCAAAAAAAGCTGAGTGGAATCTCTCAAATAAGTGGGTTGCGATGTAACAATGGTTGGAGGAGTTTGTCAATGTACTCGGAGAGACGACTCAAAAGTGAGCCTACTCCCGAGACAATCGGTCTCCCTAGTGGAATAGTGGGGTGTTTATGAATCTTTGGGATGGTATACAGCACTGGAATTTTTCAGGTTTGGATATTCAAATATTTGTACTCCTGGGTGTTAAGAATACCAGCATTTTTTCCTTGTTCCAATAATTCATAATATAGTATTTTGATTTGGACTGTAGGGTCACCCGTAAGTTTTTTTATAGGTGATACAATCATTTAGTTGTCAATAAATTTATTTTTCATATTGATCTCTATTTTGTAGCACAACTCCCCCCCTACCCCCCTTATCGGCTGGTTTTATGATAAGTTGAGGATTTTTAGTAAGTTGTTGTAACGCTTTCCTTTGATTATAATTTAAATTGAATTGATTAGGTCTTCCTTTCCTAGTATAGGTGATTCTTTTTAACCTCATCTATGACTAGAGTCTCAAAGACTTGCATAGCCCCGCTTTTACACTGTTGTGGAAAAAAGCTAGATCTTTCTTTGAGTTCTGTATTTACAGATTCTGTTTGAACAGCTGGATTAGTGGGTAATTGATTTTTATACACAAATTACGAGTAACTTTGTGTAGATCAATGAATGTGTTGAAAGGTTGGTTAAAGCATGTAGGGGCAAACTTAAGTCCCTTATTTAGGATTTGAACGTGTTCCTTTGTGAGAGTAACATCAGATAAATTGAAAATTCCTATTGGGGCAACCTCCTTCTTTTTCTTTCTGTTGCATGGTATTCCTGCTCTTACTCCCCTTCCTCTAGTTCCAAATTTATTTTTCCCAATCTCCTCCGAAATTGGTTGGGATTGCCAAGTTCTAAAAAAGGAGGGGATGGAGGGGCAGGGTCCCGCTTATTATGTTATGTATTCTCTATTTCCCTTCTCTGGGTCGGCGATAATGATTGTTACGTGGTGGGGTATCTGTTAATTTATTCTTATATGCATTAGATAACCTATGGTCGTCCATTTTTTGTTTACCATTATATCCTGTTTGGGATCTGGATGTTCTTGAGTTATACTGGGAGCTATCATGGTTAACTCGTTGACGATAGTGAGAATGGTCATAATGATCTCTTTGACAAGAGTGAGTAGGGTTATAGTAGGATGTGCCCCTATTATACGAATTGATGGCACCATTATAGTATCTCTTAGGGTATGTAGAGATATCTTCTCTATTTTTATTTTTGCTTGAGAAGGTTCTGACTTGGTTGGTAGCATAATCATGTTTATCTCCGAAAGAAAATCTGAAAGATTGTCTGTATCATGAAATGCTGCCTTCATGAATCAGTCCAATCCCTGTCATAGAGCAATAATGGGTAAAATAATATCTGACCGATATTGATTCTATTCCTGGCTGTGTTTACAGTGAATAATGTATTTATATAGTATAGGAACATGCATTGGATGGCTTATTAAATTGCAGATTCTAAAGACTATAAAAAACATAAGGCAATAGAGTATTTAACTATGTGCATTTTGGGGATTAAACAATAATTAGACATATAGCATTTCTATGGTGTAAAGTTGTATGATTGTTAAATAATAAATAAACAGTGTCTAAATAAATGCATACTTTTCATATTTGTATTATTAAATCTTTAGACATTTATAATTTTCTACTACAATACAAAGTTGTTTTCCAATGATAAGTTTGGTGTTAAAATTCATGGCATTGATTAATATTTTATAAATGTTCTGACATTGCAGGTTGATAGGTTTATTTTCTGCATTGCTTAATCATAAGACTAACAGCATTGTACATTGCAAGGACGTCACATACGTAGTTTTGCACCTGACCATACCAGGACGTCACATATATAGTCTTGGCACATAACCAAATTTGTTCTCTCCTATTCTAAGAAGACTCTACCCCTACACTTTCCTATTCTAAGAAGTCTCCACATAGTAATGACCCTTAGATACATCGGCATACATACCACGGTCGCAGTTGCAACCGGACACGTCACTCCAGGGGGCCCGGCCGTCCTGTGGACCCCTGCGACCGGGTGCCCGCCATGTGTTGCGGCCCTGGCCCATGCGGTAGGTCCGCCAGGGCCGCTTGTGAAGGGGCCCATCGGGTGGCCCATGCTGTTAGGGTCACCTGATGGAAAGAAAGATCATCATCATCAGAGTGGGCCCAGTAACAGAGCGACCGGGCCCCCTCTGATGTCAGACGCTTGGAGGAAGTGACTGCCCCAGTCACTCCTCCCAGAAACCACCAGGAGCCGCACACAAGGAGAGGAGGGAGTCAGAGTGGGGATTCTGACTCCATCAACCTGAGCCACTAGACCTCAGGGAAAGTCACCTAAAAGGTAGGGTGAATAAAATATTTTGTGTGTGTTTTAGTGAAAGTGTCTGTATGTATGTATGTGTGTCTGTATGTATGTGTGTCTGTGTTTTTTTTCTGTGTGTGTATGTATGTATGCATGCATTTTGCCGATGCATTTACTTTAACTAAGCATTTCTTTTCTACATTTTACCTGCGTTTGACGGATGTCCGCTTTCATTATTTATCTATTTATTTATTTTTTCCAAGTATGTGCTTACATAAGCTTATAGGGATTTGCTACGCTGCAGCATTTTAGTATCTATGGCCTGCCTGGTGGCTAGATAGTAAGCCCAGGGTTTTCTAGGATATTGTCTCCTTTCCTCTAAAGTTACTAATTTCGGAGGGGGCTTTTTTGATTTCAGGTACTGCTGTTATATACCGCTGTGGATTTTATGTATCTTTTAGTCTCATACTAGGGGATATATCACTATTGGATTTCCCCTATAGTTTATATTGCCAAACAAGACATATAGCCTCCCAGAGAGTCTGTACAGCAGGGTCGGCTACATAGCTCTACACCCGTTTGTGCTTCTTCGTGAATTTATTTTCCACCAGTGAGCTATCTTGGTATACTCTATTGAGACACTATTTATAATGACCACAGTTTAACTCCAGTACCATATCGGCATTTCTACTATCGCTAGGTACCACGATCCCAGCTACATATATTACTTACCGATTTTACCGTTTTAGCGCGACTTGGTTTATTTAATTTTCATCTTTTGTACGGAGCAGTCTGTACTTATGTTCATTTTCTCTTATATACTGGTCCACTTATCTGATGTTCCTATAGTCTTACTTGGTCCTCTTTAGAGGCCTTACTACTATTTACTTTAGCGGACTCTATACGTATGTGCACATACAATATATATATCATTTTCTATGAGATTAAGGAACATATCCCCAGGTTTTTAATTCCTCACCTTGTGATTTTCACTAACACAACTTTCTATGGTGTTTCTATCCAGGGTAAGCTTAATACCTATTATACATATTTTCTTTGCTTAATTTTAGTTCAATAAAGGTTATTACCATTTTCTTTGTTACGTTTACTTTAGGAGGTAATCTTCTAGAGTGAAATTGAATCCCATTCACTTTTGAGTGAGTGTTTCTCACTCTTTCAGTTGGTAGTTATTTACTTGTTGTGGGGTTAAGCCTCTGTGTTACCTCTTGTAACCTACCTTGGGGTTCTGACGTTGGCTAGTCCAATATCACCACTCCTATCTCATATTTGTGTATGTATGTATGTTTATGTGTGTTTGTGTGTCTGTATGTATGTCTGTGTGTGTATATGTATGTGCCTGTCTGTGTGTGTGTCTGTATGTATGTGTGTGTGTCTGTATGTATGTGTCTCTGTGTGTGCAGCATTTACATACCGCGGTCGCAGGGGTCGCAGCTGAGACCGGGCCCGGCACTCCATAGAGTCCGGCCGCCCTGCAGACCCCTGCGACCGGGTACCAGGCCTGCCTCCACATTTTGCGGCCCCGGCCTGTGCAGCAAACCGAGGGAGGGGTCCATCGGGTGGTCCATGCTGTCAGGGCCACCCGATGGATATGGATATGGATTACATCAGAGCTGGGAGGAAGTGATTCCCCAGTCACTCCTCCCAGCTATCAGAGCCCGCGCGGGAGGAAAGAGGAGGAGGAGGGAGTCAGAGTGGGAACTCTAACTCCCATCAGGCTGAGCCACCACTGGACCCCAGGGAAAGTAACAATGTGTGTGTGTCTCTGTATGTGTATGTGTGTGTCTCTGTATGTATGTGTGTGTGTCTCTGTGTGTGTGTGTCTGTGTCTCTGTATGTGTGTGTGTCTGTGTCTCTGTATGTATGTGTGTCTCTGTATGTGTGTCTGTCTGTATGTGTGTCTGTGTCTCTGTGTGTGTGTCTCTGTATGTATGTGTGTGTCTCTGTATGTGTGTGTGTCTATGTATGCAGTGGCGTACACATAATCCATGGGGCCCTGTATGTATGTGTGTGTGTCTCTGTATGTATGTGTGTCTCTGTATGTGTGTCTGTCTGTATGTGTGTCTGTGTCTCTGTGTGTGTGTCTCTGTATGTATGTGTGTGTCTCTGTATGTGTGTGTGTCTATGTATGCAGTGGCGTACACATAATCCATGGGGCCCTGTATGTATGTGTGTGTGTCTCTGTATGTATGTGTGTCTCTGTATGTGTGTCTGTCTGTATGTGTGTCTGTGTCTCTGTGTGTGTGTCTCTGTATGTATGTGTGTGTCTCTGTATGTGTGTGTGTCTATGTATGCAGTGGCGTACACATAATCCATGGGGCCCTGTATGTATGTGTGTGTGTCTATGTATGTGTGTGTGTCTATGTATGTGTATGTGTCTCTGTGTGTGTCTGTGTCTGTGTCTATGTGTGTGTGTGTGTGTGTGTGCCTGTGTCTCTGTATGTATGTGTCTGTGTGTATATATGTGTGTGTGTGTCTCTGTATGTATGTGTCTGTCAAGGGATATATGTGTGTGTGTGTCTGTCTGTGTGTATGTGTGTGTGTGTGTCTGTATGTATGTGTCAAGGGAGATGGGGGGAACGGATCGGGGAGAGGGGGGGCGCCACTGTGTGTGTGTGTGTGTCTGTATGTATGTGTGTGTGTCTGTATGTGTGTCGGCGTGTGTGTGTGTATGCGTCGGCATGTGTGTGTGTATGCATGTGCCTGTGTGTGTGTATGTGCCTGTCTGTGTGTGTGTGTCTGTATGTGTGAGTGTGTGTGTCTGTATGTGTCTGTGTGTGTCTGTATGTGTCTGTGTGTGTCTATGTATGTGTGTGTGTCTATGTATGTGTGTCTGTCTGTATGTGTGTGTGTGTCTGTATGTGTGTGTTTCCGTGTATGTGTCTTTGTGTGTGTGTGTCTGTATGTGTGTGTCTATGTATGTGTGTCTGTATGTATGTTTGTCTGTGTGTATCTCTGTGTGTGTCTGTATGGGGCGGCGGTGGGGTGGTATGTGGGGGGGTGGTAGGTGGTGGTGTGGGGGTGGGGAGGTGGGGGGCCCATGGATCAGTTTTGCACCGGGGCCCCATCAATTATGTGCACGCCACTGCTTAGATATGTTTTTTTTAATCTGATTTGTTACATGCCCATACCATGATGCTTGCACAAGCTGTCCATTCTGTTAGTTTTACTTGTCAATATTTGATTGGTAATAATTGATACTCCCTCAGACTCCCCTTTATTGCGTGGTATTATAAAACCATTCTTCTGTTTAATAAAGATCAGACATTTTCCTGAACTGGCTCCCTTGTATGTCTTTCAGTACTGGAATGGTTTGGCTCAGTCTGGATAGAACTGTAAGATTATGGCAGGTAATTCTGGTGATCAAACTGGTACTTTTAGTTAGTTTACAAGCAGCAGTTAGGTGCACTTGAAGGCACGTTAGGGGCAACTTAGGAACCTCTGTTAAGATTTTCTGTTTGGTTAACCTTTGAATAGAGCACTCGAAAGTTATTTATTTTAGTGATCTACTCTTCTACAGTCATATTAGGGATTTTTTTATTCTTTTCATTCACTCTTTGGAGCATTGTTTTGCAGGCTCTTCAGTAGATTTTTGTATCATAGACCAAGTAAACATTTAAAGGATATTCAAAGAGAGAGAATAAAGTAGCGCCTATGTGTGTAAAATATTACAATTTTAAATTATAATTTTATCACATGACAGGAGGCTTCATATTTTGCATAACTTTCTTTATGTCTCCAGCAGCACAAGTCAATCATATGTATGTTAGGTCTGCTTGTCCTAGTTTCCCTCCCTCTCACTAACCTCACGCGGATTTCGGCATTTTACTGCAGTCGCGTTTTTTTCGATTTCCGGGTTCTGGGACTTTGGGCATGGGTACTGGGGGTGGGGAAGAGCAGAGGGGGGTGTTTGTTTTTTTTTCCATACCGGCGGGCCGAGGGCACCAGCCATCTTGAATCTCGCGGTACCGCGAGATTTACGTCGGCCATTTTGTTTTTGCCAGTTCGTGATTCCCACAAACTGGCATAGTTTTTCTTCAGCTATTTATGTATAACATACTGTAATAAATCTACTGTGTACTTAGTTCTCCATGCAGCTCCTGTGCATGAACGTTAATCAACTGCTTACCTGATGTGTGCACATAGCATGACTCAGTCTATCTTACTGATTGTGGATTAGGAGTTGATAACTGGTGTCCAGCCCTCCTACTCCCAACCACAAGGATATAATCCCTCTACATAAAGATGCATTTTTCAGGATCCAGTTGTGGA